GGTAGGGATGATTTTAAGAAAATTTTAATTGACACACAGCTTCCAATATTTGGCTTTTAATTTGGTTTTATGGGGTTTTTTTGTTTTGATGTATTTTGTTTGTATCTGTTTTAATATGCTGTACACCGCCCTGAGTCCTACGGGAGAAGGGCGGTATATAAATTAAATTATTATTATTATTATTATTATTATTATTATTTCCTGAAAATAAGACCTAGCTAGATTTTTGCATGTGTGCCCAATATAAGCCCTACCCCCAAAATACGCCCTACTTAAGACCATTCCCACTCCATTGCACCTGGTTGCATGAGGTGGGGCGAGGCACATAGGTAAAAATCAAGCTAGGGCAGGGATGGGGTGATGGAGCTGCCCCATGTGCCCCGCACCCACTTACCTTAGGACAGTTGCAGCCAGGCCTCCCATGCCCCGACACCTGCCTCGCCGGCTCACTTCTTCTGCAGCTGTTTGCGTGCATCATCCCCAGCCTCTGTTTTGCCATCAGAGGCCTTCCGTTTCACCGTCAGAGGCCTTTCCGGAAGGCCTCTGACAGCTAAATGGAAGCTGGGGGGGGGGGCACGCCACGCATGTCAATCCAGAGCTCGTTTCTTAGCTGCAGAGGCCTTTCCAAAGGCCTCTGATGGCAAAATGGAGGCTGGGGGCAACACACACGAACGGTGGCATGCATCCACAGAAGAAGTGGGCCGGTGAGGCAAGGCAGATGTCAGGGCATGGGAGGCCTGGCTATGGCGGTCCTAACGTAAGCAGGTAAGACATCCCCCGAAAAAAAGACCTGATCTTATTTTCGGGGAAATACGGTAGTGACTACACAGAATGACTCTTCTGATAAAAAAAGATTGACCAATGGAGGAGGATGACTGGAAGAGAAGAAGGGGAGAAGAGCTGCTTTGCCTGAAATGTCCCCTATGTTCTTGTTTTTATGAGGTAAAATTTACTTCAAATAAAAGAAGGTCCTGGCTTTTATTTATAAAGAGCACTGACTAGCTCTCCTTTTTTAAAATTAGGAATCTATATCTCTTTTCTCAGTCAACTGCATGCAAATGCTAATTTACTAATCCCTCTACTATTTGAGAATTACTTGCACAACAAGAATATCAAATAAATGCTTCATTATATTAGTTGCTGCTTTCCATATAGTAACTCCATTTACAAACTCAGAAAAATATATATAGTTGAGCATAACTACAGATAGATGAACTACAATTTCAGCCCATAATCTGGGGCTGCTACACTATAGCCCATAATCTGGCCCACGTACTATTAAGCTTTATTATCCCATTTTCTCTTTTCCCAGTATTTGCTGAAATTTCTCCTTCACCTCACCTCTGGCCTAATAAGTGAGGGAAATGCATTTCACACATCATATTCAATAGGCTTCAGCCTTGTATTCAAAATAATTATCAAAAATGAATTTGTCGGCAATTCTGTCCCAGTATTTATACTGATTTCTGCTTCAATGGTTTCTCCATGTGCTTGGAAAAATAGAAGGAAGTTATCAGTCCCATTTTTTCCTGAATGGAAATGGAGAATAATGGAGTTTCCTGGAAGTCTTCCAGAAGAAATATACAATAAATGTTGCTAGTAGTTAAATTCTTGAGGTTAAGCGGTAATAAACAGTCCTGTCTGATGCTTTGCTTGCCAATAGAAATTAGAAGTGATGAATATTCTCTTAACAAAGACTGTGATTGTCCTAAAAAGGTTCCTTGCCTGCAGATTTTAGGCAAATAGCTGTCAACACCCTGTCTTCATATATCAGTCCACTTGTGATGTAAATTGAAGACAGGCATCTCTAGAAGCCACAATACAGAGATCCTTGTGTCTATGTCTTAATTATCACCTAGTCTTGAACTTGTACTTTTCTAGTCTGGGATAACGTAGAAGCCTGTCTGCAACAGTTTTTGTGCACATACCCATATTGCATATGCCGATGCCTGTCCTGAAACGTCATCACACAATATCATTGGGTTTGGAGCTTGTCACCATTCCACTCCAGTGTATCTCAGGTTGCAGTGCCTGATGAATAGGTTTCAGTTAAAGCAGAGTCAAAAACTAAAAGCAGAATGAGGTGCATGTATCCTTTTTTTACTGAGCAAAGCAATAATGCAAATGATGAGGTTAGACTGGCAAGAAAACAGAAGTGGTTGTATGACAGAAATCTTTCTGCTCAAGACAGTCCTCAAGAAACACCATGTGCATTTGCCTGCAGTGTCAGTTCAGATTGATGGTGGTTTAGTCCAGAATACCACCTATTAGAAGCACTTCTGGATTTCAGGCGGGGTGAGAGTCATAAAAATCCAGGCAATAAAACATGGATTATCCAGTATTCAGTGCAGATTCCTTTGTTTGAGCAAGTTATTGTATATCTACTTAACATAAATTATACCAACATTCTGATTATTTGAGAAAGATTATTGGCATGTTTAATTTGTAATGGTGGATCCAATAAATTATGTGCCTTGTCCAGGAAAAGAGAACTGGTAGCCCATGTCAGAATATCCATTTTTTTCCAGGGATAATACAAGTTCCCTACTTCTGATCTGAACTTAATATCCTGTTTCTACTAGAAACTAGCCAGATGTTCCTAGCTGTCAGGCTGTATTCTCTGGAGCTAGCAGTAAAACACAGATACTTCCTGCTTTAGCTCAGCTCTTCATCTAAACACATGAAAGTCTCAGATAAGATTTATTTACTGCAGACAAAAACAAAGCATTCAAAACAGCTGATTGCTACACTACAATGATACAAATGATTATTATAACTCTGCAGTGGTTTAAATTAACAGATTCCAGATTCTTGGCATGGTGTTTAGTGGCCTTGAAGCTGGGCGATTTTATTTTTACCAAACAGCTCTACTGGCTCCCGCCTAGCTCTCCTATCAGGAAGTTCCCAAGGAAAGCATATGGGCAGTAGCTTTCTCCTTTGATTCCCTGCCAATATTTGTTTTGTTGAACATGGAGCTCTTGTTCAGCTAATATCCTGGCTATTGCAAGGAGGGGTTGGAGAAGTCACTGCCTGTATTCATGAGATTATTAATTAACCCTTTGCTTGAGGGGGGGGAGCTGTCAGCAGCCCTGAAAGAAGCTGTGGTATGCCCCCTTTAGAAGAGGCCATCTCTAGATCCTATGTTCCTAGAAGACTACTGGCTAGGCTTAAACCTTCCTTTTGTGAGGAAGATTGTTCAGACAATTGTGGCAAATCAACCCCTCAGCACCCTAGAAACCCTTTTCAATCAGAGTTCAGCTCAGGTACAGATGGCTTTGGTTGCTCTTCCAGATTATCTTTATTGGAATTGGATGGGAGGGAACATACTGAAATTAAATCAAAGAAAATGGAGTTGCTATTTGTATATCGGGTTCTTCAACAACAACAGTATCGGAGAACCCTGGTATACAAACAGCAGCTCCATTTTGCTTTGGTTCAATTTTGATCTGTTCTCTCCCCCTTAGGCAGTGGTGGGATTCAAATATGCGAACAACCGGTTCTCTGTGTGGATGCCACTTCCGGAAGTCCATTCTAGGCCTGGGCAACAAAAAATTAGCTTTCTTCTACATCAATCATTAGTTTCTGTTAGTTTTTATTTCTGTATCTGAAAATTTTTAAAAATTATCTAAAAACTTTTTCTGCATTGCTATTGGAGGCAAGATAGGTTGTGATTATTCTCTACCAAATGTAGTCTTTATCTGGTATCAGCTGGGCTATATTTTCTTCAAATATAAATTTTTATTATTTTCATCATAAAAAAGAACACATCACAAATACATCACAATGTAAAAACCCTACCCCCCACCCCCCGGACTTCCCAAACCTAATCCCAGGATACTATTCAACTAAAAGTAAACTACTATTAATATCCCTAACTCCACAAAATATTATTCTACATAAGTAGGTGAAATATATAAGAAAAAAAAACAAATTATCTAAAAGCCTAGATTATATTCCACCATTCTATGCTTATTTTGAATATAAACAATCCATCTTCTCCATATTGATAAAAAATGTTCATTTGAATGATTCTTCAGATAAGCCGAAATTTTTGCCATTTCAGCAAGATGCGAAACCTTCAATCTCCAGTCCTCCATTGTAGGTAAAACTTTACTCTTCCAATTTTGAGCTATCAGCAAACGGGCAGCAGAGCTGGGCTATATTTTCAATATAAAGTGAAAAGCCTTTTTTATTTGGGTGTTTAAAATATTGCGATTCTTGTGTTGGAGGATTTTTAAATATTTTAATATCTTATTGTTGCTAATGTCTGTAATATATTAATTTTGCTAATATGAGGTAGTTACTATATTTGATATTTAGCTCCCCGAAAGCTATAAAAATGATGCAAGAAAGGAATAGAAATAATTTCAGATATGTAAATATAAATCTCTAAAGGGTTGTTTTCTTTCTCCATATGTAGGCAGCCCTGGTTGGGGGGACAACCATGGTTATCGGACATGTACTTCCAGATAAAGAAACTTCCCTGCTAGATGCTTATGAGAAGTGTCGCAGCCTGGCTGACCCAAAGGTGTGCTGTGATTATGCCCTGCACATGGGCATCACCTGGTGGGCACCTAAGGTAAGAGGGATGAACCTGGAAGCAATTTTTTAAAAAATGTCTAGTTTAATAGCCTCTGTACCGCTAGTCTTCAATTTTTTTAGGTTCAAGACCCTCTTTAGCAAGCATAGTATTTAGGGAGTGATTCTAATTCCACCTTAGGCATAAATCCAATTGGACAACCTTGGATCAGCTTCTCTCTCTCAGCCCCAGAAAAAAAGCAATGGAAAATCTTGCCAAGAAAACTGCAGCAACTCGTCCAGGTAGCGACCAGGAATTAACATTGCCTTAAAAGCACACATACACAAGACTTCTTCCCTGTATTTGTACAGTGGTTGTACTGCTGATGCAATCCACATCTCATCTGACTGCAGACCAGAAAGTAGTTCCTACCCCATCAGTTAAGATCTGTGTATTTAAGAACCTGTAAGACCCAATATTGGATCCCTATGTAGGTCCAACATTTGAATGCAAGTATATAAGATTTGCATTTTAATGTCACCATATGTGTTTCAGAATTGGCCTTCAGCATGGTTCTCTATGCTGGGACATCATAATTATTGGGCATGTTGATTGAAGATTTTAGGAATCTAAATAATACTTGACACTATAAAATTGAAAACTGTTCTAAATTGACAAGAAGTGACCCTCTAAAGTAGCTGGCAGTACCCTATCAAATCCTACCAAAAATTGAGCTTGAACTGTGGCCCTGCCCTTTTCATCCAGGATAATGATCATCATGGCCCAACAGCCCAGGTCCTGTCCTCACGCTGTCGTCTGCTGGGATCTACTTCAACTCAGACCCCTGTGCAGCTCCTCTTAGATAGGATGTATTTAGCCTCAAACATCTGGAATTACAGACCATGCTTACTGGGTTATATACATCCATCCCTTGGCCATCTTGTCCAGGTTGGGTGACTGAGGTTACAGTAGTCTTTTGTTTGGGTCTGTTCCTCAATCATTTCTAGTCCAGCCACCCTCAATTTCTGCTTGTACTGTCTTTTCTTCACTGTTGTTCACACTTACAACCGTTGCAGCATCTCCATAGCCAAGTGATCAAAATTCAGATGCTTGGCAACTGGTTCATATTTATGACAGATGCAGCGTCCTGGGGGGGGGGGGTGTCAGGTGATCACCTTTTGTGGCCTTCTGACAAGCAAAGCCAACTGCACGGTGGCAAGAAAGGTTGTAAAATGGGGCAAAACTCATTTAACAAATGTCTTGCTTAACCACAGACGTTTTGGACTCAGTTGTGATTGTAAGTTGTGGACTACCTGTATAAATTTATGTGTAACTTTATATGATTTATTGTTTTATATTCTACTTTTCACGCCGATGATTACGTAACATTTTATAATGAAAGTGTTTCATAGAATTTTTCTATGAAAAATTCAGGTTCAAGCAGAGCAGATGAACCTGAGAAAGGACATTTTTGAAAAGCCCAGGGCACCTGAACAAGAATTACAATGGCTGTCCTTTGTCACAGAGCTTGTCTAGCCGGCATGCAGATATGTAGCAGTGCAGAGCTAAGGCATAAAATTTTATTCTTGCAACAAAAGTTTGAGTGATTTTAAACAAATTATTATGCACCAACATGGCATTAAATTTCTTGCTCAGAGCAAGTGATGAGTTATTTAGGAAACAACTTGGAATGACAAGAAAGCAAATTTTAAAATGCAGGTTCTATCCTGCGGTCCTGGATCTTTTTCACCTTTTTATTTGGCAGTTCTGGAGACCTTGAATTCTGAGTTTCAGTTACATGCAGCATTCTCCTATCATTTCTGTCTATGAGTGGATAGACAGGATATTTTTGTCTGCAGGACTTCTTTAAAATTACAAGTGGTGATTAACGAACTCTTTCTTAATCCCATCCCTCCTGGTATCTTAGGTAAAATCAGAAATGGAAACTTTGGTTCGAGAGAAGGGTGTCAACTCCTTCCAGATGTTCATGACATACAAAGACTTGTACATGCTCCGAGACAGTGAGCTGTACCAGGTGTTCCGTGCTTGCAAAGATATTGGAGCTATCGCACGTGTTCATGCTGAGAATGGCGAGCTGGTGGCTGAGGTAAGCTGCTTTGGAGGATGGTAGGGTGGGTCCAATAATACCCCCTTAGATAGATCTAAGCTCCACTGTTTTCATAAATGTGGATGGTCTCAAAGTGTTGCCGCTTTTCCAGGATGCAGCTTGTTTGGATGGGCAAGTCTTCTTCTCCATCACCCTTTCCTGAATTTTCCAAAGCCTGTCCTTGTCCCACACATATTCTCATTCTTATCATTAGTGTCTTCTGAACAATTGGATGCATTTCTGCAAGCAGTTTACACTATCCATGCAGACATGCTCTCATTAATCCAGAATCCTTATCACCCATTTATTTTCACACATAATTAGAATTGTGGATTGGAATCACCATCTCAGCTATCACAGGCACTGAAAATGTGAAGTGGGAGACAATCCCTTTATATCATGCATTGCCATTCCAGATTATGATGTTGGTTTCAAATTGTGTAAGTATAAAAATCAAGAAGAAAAAAAAGGATACCACTGTGTCGATTCTGAACTTTTTGTTCTGATTCTCTGTACAGGGAGCTAGGGAAGCTCTGGATTTGGGCATCACTGGTCCAGAGGGAATTGAGATCAGTCGACCAGAAGAGGTAAAAATGCCATGTGGTATATGTACACACACTCATGCATTCTGCAGTCGGAAATTGCTCCATCCTCTCATCCCATAAACCTATGTGATTGGATATGGGGGAAAAAATCCCCCTCCCCAGTCAACAGGTCAGGAGATGATTATCTCTGCTCACTGACTTAATTGCTATTTGTAGCACAGTATGGGTCTTATTCCTGTCTATATTGGCATCTTGTAGTTAGAACACCTTACCATAAAGCTGTCAGTTGTTCAAGCTGACTTTAAAATAGTTGAACATTGTTTGAGTGATGGGGATATGGTAGGGTTTTTTTTTTAGCACACATGTACTATTAATAGCAGAGAAGTAGCATGCATTATATTTTGCCTGTCTCATGTCCTTTTCTCATTGCAGCTAGAGGCGGAAGCTACACATCGTGTCATCACCATTGCTAATCGGGTAAGTGCAGCCCTCCTCATTCTTCCCTGGGGTACCAAATTTACCCACCTTAATGCTAATGGATGAGCCCTTATATCCACTACAAGCTTATTTTCAAGGAAATTTCTTGGGTGGATTCCTTGGTCTTATACTATGTCAGGCCACTTGATTCCTTGATTCCTAATGTCAGGCCACTTGATTCCTAATTGGCTACTTTCATTATCCAACTCCTTGCAAGAAGGTAGAATGTTTTGTACCCTTCTGTATACATCCTACTGTGAAACATAGTTCACAGCTCAGTCTGATGCTTTCCCCCTTTTTCCTCTTTTGGCAGACTCACTGCCCTGTCTATCTGGTCAACGTGTCTAGCATGTCTGCCGGGGATGTTATAGCCACAGCCAAAATGCAAGGTGAGAACCAACTTCTGATTCTGAGTGCAAAGACCAGCACTTAATGCAAAATACATTGTGTTTATTATTATTTCATAACAGCTGGAACGAAGGCTTTGAATCCCCTCTTTCCATTTACCCCCTCCTGGTTCCAGAACCTTTTCCTACATTTTAATAGCTATATATTTAAATGTGGCACTACAAAGAGTGCTATTTTCCTCTTCCAATCTCCTACCCTCAGTTTCCTCAAAATCTTTCCCAGGCGTTTACTCACCCTATACAGATAATTCAATATTAGATAAAGACTGATGAGTCGCCTCATCTATTTATCACCCTATAATGTATTGAACACTTTAAAAAGATTGGATCTAACTCCTTGGGGTTCAATGTTTTCTCCCCTTTCTTACCCACAGGGAAGGTTGTGTATGCAGAGACCACCACAGCACACACTACGTTAACAGGCTTACACTACTATCACCAGGACTGGTCCCATGCAGCAGCCTACGTCACAGTGCCACCCTTGCGGCTAGATACAAACACTTCCACCTACCTCATGAGTTTGCTTGCCAAGTAAGAAGCTTTGGATTACTTAACTCTAGATAATGCCTGAAGAATCAATTGCAACGTAATCTAAAAGGGATAGAAAAGGGCAGATCTGAAAGGGAAAGTCTGTGACCATTCATTCATTCATTTATGAATTTTTTAAACCATTCAACCCCAAAACTCATGTGAAATCTGGGGTGAAATATCAGCACAACAAACAGTACTTGGGACTTATCCTATGTCTTCCTTTCTGTTTATCTTTCTCCTCAGTGACACTGTGAATGCTGTCGCCTCTGATCACCGGCCTTTCACCACTAAACAGAAGGCAATGGGGAAGGAAGACTTCACTAAGATCCCCCATGGAGTCAGTGGGGTACAGGACCGTATGGCTGTCATCTGGGAACGTGGAGTGGTAAGTGATAATATCAGAGGGAATCTGGCTGATAAGAAAGGAGGATGCCCATTCTGGTTTCCTAAATAGGAGCAGGGAAGTATACTAAGTTGGTAGAGAAATAAAGACCTGCTTTGTATCTGGAAGCAGAGTTTACTGATCTCAGAAGTAAGATTTCTGCAGGAGTAAATCATGGGCTTATCATTTTAGCTTTCTTTGTCACATAGTAGTCAGATACATTTGGGACACTTATTAGCATGGACAAAAAGGTGATAGTTTGCCTTCTTCCAGCATTTCTTCTTCCCAAGTAACATTTAAGGTATGCTTCCTATGATTCAGAAGATAATCCATAGTCATCTAGAGCAGTGTTTCTCAACCTTGACAATTTTAAGGCATGTGGACTTCAACTCCCAGAATTCCACAGCCAGCATTGCTGGCTGTGGAATTCTGGGAGTTGAAGTCCACATGCCTTAAAATT